GGGGGGGGCAGGATTTTCTGATGTGCTGCGGTCTTGCCGTTCAAACGCAGGGGCAGGCCTGCAACCAGCTCTGCCCAGACCTGATCAATCCGGACATGTCCCTTCACTCCCCCCACACAGGGGGTCGGTTCCGAGGGCAGTGGGTGGTTTAGGTGGGGGATGAAGTATGAGGGAGGCTGAGGCTGGAACGATCATTGTAAGGCTGAGTTGACTCTTTTTTGGGGGGGGGTTTATGCAGCAAATCTGACAATCTGGGAATTGTGAAGTGACTGTGGAACTATACAATAGAAAAACCTTCAACACCTGCAGCACACAACCCTATGCCCCTCAAGCTCTGCTTTACTTTGAGCCTGAACACAGCTGTATCCCAGCGCAGGTCTCTTTTTTGCTGTCCTCCGACCCCATCCCCCAGGTCACGTTTAGCTTTAAAAACATTTTTATTGCAAAATGGAATACAGAAGGGGTGTGAAATATTTTAATATAGTGCCTGTGGAAGGTGAGGGATTAGCGCTCCTGGAGACTTGAGCCCAGGTGTCTGCCTGTCTTGTTTTGCGTGTCTTTAGGTCCACATCTCCTACGATAAAAATACCAATGTTGTTTTTTTTCCCCCCTTGTTGTGTGTTTACAAAAAGGGGTGGCAGGGTAGCGCAGTGGTTAGCGTTGCGGACTCACAGAGCTGGGGCCCTGGGTTCAATTCTGGACCTGGGGTACTATCGGTGTGGAGTTTGCATGTTCTTTCACACAGTCCAAAGACATGCTGGTAGGTTAGTTGGCTTCTGGGAAGGCCAGCCCTGGTGCGAATGAATGCATGTGTGTCTGTGTGTGCCCTGTAATGGACTGGCGTCCCATCCAGGGTGTATCCTGCCTTGTGCCCGTTCCTGGCCAGGATTAACTCCGGCTCCCCCTGCAACCCTGTGTGCTGGGTACAGCGGGCAGCAAATGGGTGCATGGTGTATAACGATGATGGCCAGTTGCTCCCCCTTTGAAAAGATTCAGTCGTAGTTTAAGAAATATCTTGTACTACACAAAGCACACTGGTCTGGTGGACTTTTCATTTAAGCGTATATGTAAATTAAGCGTAGGAGTGTTAATCCCATTGTACCAGCTACTTTATACATTGGGCTGGTACAATCTGGTTTCCTAAAGTTCCCCCCTTAACCCAGTGGCAGTTTCTCTCTCCTCCCCCTGATCTGCTGTGCAGAATGGCTGCTGTGTGTCTCCCAGTTGTGGGACATTGACCCTTTCCTATGTGTGAAGCACTCTGGGTGGCTTCAGGATTAAAACCTCTGTAGAAATGCAGGGAATCAGTATAAGATTTGCATCAAATATTCCAAATTTCCGTCCTCGCTACAGCGTCGTCTTCCAATGTTACTGAGCTCATTTTCTCAATGGGACATTTTAATGAACACCCTTGCTGGAGTATCTTTCAGCACCTAAAAGATATAGATTTCAAGATTTCAATTCTTAATAATAAAGGTGCATGAATGTGCAAAGTGACCATAATTGGGCCAGTGGCAACACTTATGCTGGGAATGCAGCTGAAATAGGCAAAGGGGAGCTCATGTGACCAATCAGAACATACAGCAAGTAGTCATTTTCTGACACCACCTAAAATGATTCCGGTTAAGAGTCCCATATCGTGTCGTGCTTGTAGTATGGCGGGAACTGTTGCAGGCGTTTTCTCATGATGGCCAGGTCCAGCGAGGTCTCTGGCCACTCCTTCTGGACCGCCTGGGTCGGCTGTTGAAGTCTGCGCGTTCGAAAAGATGTCACAGGGCGAGATGTGTGTCTGTTTGTGTCTCTCCTGAGTGTAATAAGGGCTAATTCATCATCCACTGAGCGTTAGTCCACATCTCTCCATTCTTTCATGTAAATAGGAGTCAGAAGTAGCCTAGCTAAATTTCCCACTGAAGAAACAAAAAAAATATTTTTTGAAAGAATTCTATTGTATTGTATAGTTCACAAGCAAGCACATGCACATACACACACAAAGGCATAGTACTATAGGTGTTATCATTTTAAAATATAAATTATATATACGTATACTTTTGTACACAATGGGCTGCAGCGATTCGGGAGGAAATAAAGTCTGGCCATACACGTTCTTGAGAAAGCACAAGCCAGTTTAGAAATGAAACTCAAAAGAGAAATTTCAAATTTTAGGGGACTGCTCAAGGAAGTGGGGGGCAGGGGGGGGGGGGTTAGTGACAGACTAATTGTGGAAAGAGCCATGGCCTCGAAGGAGAAGGTCTTTATTTTAATATTTTTTTAAGGGGAGCGACGTGTTTTGACGTTTTGTAGGAACAGTCCGGATCGGTTAAACGGGACACGGGCCCGAGGCCTGTGAAATATTAGCTTTCAGTCCAGAGGCCCAGCAAGAACCAGCTGGACTCAACTCATGACGTTCTGTTGGAACAGATAGCGGCTCAGTTGTGCTGCATTGTGGGTAGTCTCAGGCTGACCAGAGAGAGAGAGAGGATTGTCCTCCTTGCTTGTCTTGGCACTTGGTCGCCTCTGATATTGCTGTTGCCCATCACATGCTCAGTAGCATGGGGGACTGTTGGTACTTTTTATATTAGAGTGAGACTTTAGGGGTATTCGAATATTTTTGTACTGAACTCTGGACCAAATGTATTAGGTTGTTATTTGATGCCGAGGGGGTCATTTTCGCTGGAAGGGAAAACTCCTGCTCTGAGCTGGTCGGAATTGGATTGGGATTCAGCTAGATTCACGAGCTGCTGATGCTGGAGCTCAAAAGAGGCGTTAAAACCACAGATCCCAATGCAGTGGTAAGATTGCAGGCCTTTTTTTTT